CCATCCCTTAGCAGTGAGTAGGGACCCCAGGTCTCCTGGACACAGGGGGTGATGGGCTGCCTGCAGGATGACGTGGCTTTCACATCTCAGTCTGGGGAGGCCCGACCAGCTCCACCGACCCTGGATCCTAGGAGGGACTGGCCTCAGATGGGCCCTGTGGTACCCGGCCTCCTCTCAGCTGTCTCCCTGGAAGGGGCAGGACAGGAGTCCGAGAGGACTGCCAGTGAGGAGTGGGCCAGGTCCTGCCCAGCCAGGGCTCCGGGTGACTGCCATCGGTGAGGGACCCGCCAACCATCCCTCGGGTGCCATCCAAGGATGCTGACCCTCAAACAGTGTCTGCAGGTGGAGAGTCATGCGGCTGGCCAGGCCTCTGCCTGTTTCTGCTGCTGCATCTGTTGACCGCTGCCCTGCCCCGCCACTGGCCCCTCTGCTCTCCTATGGGGCCTGGGTCTTTTGCTTCTGTCATCCTCCAGGGAGATTTCTGGTTGGCTGGGACAGGGCCAAGGGGCAGAGACCTGGCCCTGGGGGGCCAGTGAGCCTCCTGGGGAGGTGGGAGGAGGAAGAATCAAGGAGGAGACCTGGAAGCTCCTCCCATCTGGGGTGGCCTCCCCCAGACCAGAAGGAGAATTGGGATTCGCCCTGTTCTTGCACTCCTGGTCTAACAGAGGGGGGTGACTTTATGACCAGAATGGTGACCCTGCCTCCCTGGTCTGTCTTTCCTAGGGGCCCTCAAGGATGTGCTGCCTCCATGTTGGCCCAGCCCTGGACGTCCCAGCCAAGGGTCCAGGGCCAGTGGGGTGTGCGTAGGAGGTGCTGGAGTAGAAACTGAGAGGAGGGGACACATGTGATGGCTGAGGCTGGGCCCCGTCCCCACCTGCCAGTCTCTCCCGGGGTGGGGCCTATCCAGGGATGCCGGGAAGATTGTGGGAGACCAAGGGGCCCAGGAAGGACTGTGGCTGCAGCAGGTGAGCTGAGGATGGCCTCAAGGGGCACGTGGGTGGGGGCTCCCTCACCCACCTCAGCTGGGCGCCCTGGGCATTACTGCTTCCTCGGGTGAGTGGGGTGGGTGGAGGGCGGCCACGGACTCCTTAGCTGCAGAGGCAGCACCTGCGTCTGTTCCCTCCTAGGTCTTTATTGATTGATTGATCGTGTGCTTTGGAACAGCTGTGCTTTACTAAACAGGACGGCGTCTTCAGCAAGAGTGAAGGGGCATCTCTACACCCGGCTCTGGATGTGGGACTCAGGGTCTGTGTGAGCAGGAAGCTAAACGGATGCCCTGACTCACGTGGTTGTGTGTCATTGTTGTTACTGCTGCTGCTGCTGCTTTTGCTGCGGTCACTGTGGGTGCTGTCTCCACTGTCACTGGGTTGTGGTAGTGGTTGTTGCTGCCGTTGCAGCGCGAGTGAGGGCGGCCCCTCAGCCCTGCTGGGCGGCGGGCTCGCCCGGAGCTCGGGGCTCCATGGAGGGCATCCCCCACTGCTACTTCCCTGCTGGTCTTGCAGAGTCTCCTGGAGGGAAGGGGCGGCCGAGGCCCACCCGGGGGACACAGACCCTGGTGCTGACATAGTGGGGACACTCACCAGCGCCATCATCCCCGGAAGCTGGCATGTGGGATCATCAGCGCCTCCTGGGTGTTCGGATCCCAGCTCTACTGTGTTGAGGCAGGTGGGTCGCTCCCTCCCTTTCCCATCCCAACTTGACCTCCGTGTCTGTGAACAGTCTCCTTGTCCACCCTCGACCACGGGCAGGGGTGGCCCAGGGGACAGATTCCTGGTGCAGTTAGACTCCCTGAGCCCTCTCACCACAGGGACCTGCATAGGACTTGGGGGCCTTGGGCCAGTGTCCTGGATTCTGCCCGTGGCAGAGCCAGTGCAGTTGAGGCTGAGAGGCTGTGAGATTAGTAGGGCCCTCAGTTCCCAGGCAGATGCCTGGGGCTTGAACTTACTGCCCCAGCCCCTGCCTCCTGGTTCTGGGAGGCGGGAGGAGCTGGGTGGGCAGAGGCGCAGGAGATCCAGTCCTAGCGCGGGTCCTCCCGGCAGTGGCTGGGCCCATCTGGGTTTGGGAGATGTACTAGCAGGTGAGCACCTAGGATAGCCCAGCCTCCCCAGGAAGGGCCTCATCCAGTATGACATGTTCTGTGCCTCTTTGTGATGGGAAAAAGACTCCTGCAAGGTGATGGCGGCTTCCATCCACCCTCCAGGTTCTTTGTGTCCCCACTCGGTCCCCACCCCCACACCCCAGCATCCACAGGGAGCAGCATCCTTGCCCAGCCCCTGTGACCTCAGCAGAGGGTGCGCAGGCCCATGGGCTCCGGGAGGCCTCGTGCTCGGCTCCTGCCCTCCCTGTCCCTGGGGTGACTGGGGGGGCCACTGCTCTGTTCCATCTATGATGCTTGGATCCAGGTTGGGACTGTAAGCTGGGAATCAGGCTGCGTTGGGCCATACCAGCCTGGTGTCTACACCCATGTGCCAACCTATACAGACTGGATGGGGAACACTGGCAAAGTCTCCCTCAAGCACCTCTGGGTTCCACGCTGTGCCCCTGCTTGAGCCGGTGGCCTTACTGTTGCTTGGGGCCCTGTGAACTCTGAGTGATGCAGTCCAGACTCACCCTTCTGGTGGGATTTGCAATTCAGGAGGCTTGGAGGTGACACAGAAAAAATGGACCTCAAACTGGGGATTTGAAGGTGACAGCCCAGGTGCTTGAGGCTCCAGAGCTCAAAGTGACTCTGGTGCATCGTGACTCCTGGAATAGCTGGTCCTTCACTTAAGCAAAATGCCTCATGTGTATGTGCACATTTATGTTTCTCTGTGTATATGTTTGCGTGTGTGTCTGTATTTGTGTATGTGTCTGTGTGTCTGTATATGTCTCTGTGCATCTATATGTTTGTGTACATGTATGTGTGTGTGTTTATGTGTCTATGTGTACATTCTGTACGTGTCTGTGTTTGGGTGTATCTGCGTGTGTGTGTCATGTGTGTATGTGATCTGTCTGTGTGTATGTTCCTCAGAGCACCCCACATTTGCTGGCAAAAGACAGCAGAAACGGTTCAGTTCCCCCAGCCAGGGGTGCCTCCTCCCCCCACCCCACCTCCCACTTGTGCCTATGGTGAGTGAGGAGGAAGGAGCCTGAACCAAGAGCAAAACCCACGGAGACCTTGCAGCCTGACCTTGATTGTGATACACACACCAGCCCCTTTGTCATCTGTTTCCCTGGCCACTTCCAGAGGGTGTTTGCAGAGGATCTGGAAGACTGACACTTGTGCTCATAAAACTCCACCCCAACCCCGGCTTGGTGCAACAGACAGAGAGGGTTCTCTTGGGGCCTCTTGGGGGTGGGGTGGAGTGGAGGGGCTGCCCCACCTCCAGCAGCTCCTCTCAGCATCTGGCTGCCCAACCACCCTGGCTGCACGGCTGAATGTCTCTCAAGGGCCCACTGATGGCTGGCCGGTGGTCCCTGCACCCTGGTGGGCCTCTGGTGGGCCTGGGACTAGTGACACTGTCCAGGGACAGGTTAAGGGCTGGGAGTTCAGTGTGTGGAGAAGAAACAATTCACAGCCCCCAAACAAACGACCCTCCATGGCTCAGCCAGGACGTGGATAAGGAAGGGGTTAGAATGTACGCAGATGTTCCGAAGGCTGACAGGCTGACTTCTGACCAAAGGCCAGATGAAGAGCAGGATCCAAGCCCAGGATAAACCGTCCCTCCGTCAGCCTGGACCCCAGGGCTCAGGTTTGACATGTGCCTGGTTTCTTAACTTTTGTAGAACCACTGAGAAGGAGATCACAGGGGCCAGGCCGGCTCTGCCAAAGTCCCTGTAAGTTCTGGGCCCCGAGTTCCCAGAGCAGCGGAAAGAAACCTGCAGGGAGACTGCCTGCTGTGTGAGTTTTGAAGTGTGTGGGGACACTCAGGAAAGGACATCTCTCCCCCCAGATGGGCACTGGATGGACATCTGAACAGGGGAGCAGGGGGGGGCAGAGCGATAGTAGGTTTAAATTCCACAACCACTGGGTAAATTACATCAATTCTCTCAGCCTGGGTTCCCTCACCTGTAAAGATAGGATGTTAACACCCACCTGAGAGGTGTTGTGAGGACTAAATGAGAGAACAATTGTGAAACCACCTGGCATTAGGCCTGGCCCCACATGGGTGCAGGATGGATGCTACTGCTCCTTCAGTTCCATCCTTCCATCCATCCATCCACCCCCGTTGCAGGAATAAATCAAATCACAGGAGAATTACTCACACACGTACACAAAACATTGCAACAGAAAGCAGTTTTCACAAGCAGCACTCTGGAACCAGTTCCTTTCTGTTGCATAATTAATTCCTTGCCCCTGGCTTGCTAAAAGGGAAATGTTTCCAGTACTGAGGAGACTCCACCCCTTTTCTGGGGCCCACCTTTCCTGGGGCTGGCAGCTGGGAGGGGGTCGCCTCCCAGTGCCCCCTGGTTGGCAACAACGAGGGTCAGAATGGGACAGTGTTGATGGGAAGAGTGACAGCACTGATCCCCACAGCAGTCACTGCCCTAGACTGGGGAAGGTAGGAGAAGAGGAGCATTTGGAGGAGAGCCGGAAGAGGAGCGGGTGGGGGGAGGAGGGGAGGGAGGGGGCGGAGCAGGCGTGGCGCCAGCTCAGGGGCTGTTGTGGGGACTAATTGCGAAGCACCTTCCTGGGCACAGTTCATCCTTATTTGGGAGCCGGTTCTTGGGAATTCCTTCATCATTCCCACTGCAAACACTGAGGGTGTCCTCCGGGCCAAGCCCTGCCCGGGCCCCACGGAGTCACGCGTGGTGGAGACAGCGTCCTGAGACGCTGTTCTCAGGACCTCCGGTCATCAGGATATAAGGCTCGCATAGTGCGCGGGGCCAGGGAGCTTGGGGGCGCCTGGAGCCACTCCCCTTGGGGGCAAGAATCAGGCGGGCTCACGTGTGTGCAGAACCTTTCTTCAACACGGGCATTCAGCATCACTCTGGCCTTGCCGATTGGTACCAGCTCGGGGTCACCTGGCCTCTGGTCCTGACCACCTGGCCGCGAGGAAGCAGCGCGTGGTGGGACCCGAGACCGGCTCAGGACCGCACTGGGCCTCGCTGGGTCCTGCTTCCCCGCGCGGGTCATCAGCTCTCTGGTCACCGCGGCGGGCCGACTGGGCGGACGGCTTCTCGGGGCCAAATCCCCACTTGAAGCCGATTCCCGAAAGGCAGTGGAGCAGGTGCTGGCAGTTGGCGGACGGGAGTGGCAGCCGGGAGGCGGGAGGGCGGGCGCTGAACCGCAGCCCCGCGCGGTACCCGATGGTGGCCTGGCGCCCCCTGCTGGTGCCGCAGCGCAGATGCCGGATGCAGGCCGCCCGGGTGACCCTCTAGCGCGTCTACCACAGGGACTCCGGCCCGCTACGGCTGGGGGCTCCTTACCGCGGGCTCCAGTGCGCCCTAAACCTCAGCCGGATGCTGGGAGGGAGGCGGACTTTCCGGCCACACACTCCCCCCTCCACCCCCACCCCCCTACTCCAGGACTGATGTTTGCTGTGAAACACCCAAGAGGCACAGAGCCTGGGTATGTGAGGAGGAAGAAATCAGGCAGGTTCTGCCCTAGGTGACCCCCAAGGGGTTGGAGAAACAGAAGCAACTGCACGGAACAAAAGGCCGGCTGCAGAGAAAGTGGGAGACAGGGCCCCACCCTTCCCTCATTTAGGTGGAGTTGCTTGTGCTCTTCTAAGTAAATTAAAAGTCTAATCCCACTGCCCCATCCAAGGACTTGCGGGATAACACTGCTGGGGGAGCATCACTCGGATCAGGCCTCCAGACTAGTGTCCTGATCCTGGTGACATCACATCACTGCTTTATTCCCACTGTATCTGAAGAAGCAGACTCGGAGAGGTTCCGCACCTTGCCTGAGGTCACTAGGGGAGATGGTGGCCAAGGCCAGGCAGGACCCCAGTGACAAGTCCTGAGTCAGGCAATCATCACCACACCCCACTGCCCCTGATCCACGGAGACCCCTGCTGAGCTCCAGGCACCCCTGGCTCCTCGGCCTCTTCCCAGCCAGTGTTCAGCCCCATTCCCTGTCCCTGGTTCTTGCAAACGTTCCCCAGCTAATGGACACATGCAGAGCTCAGCACAACCCAACCCACCTCCCCAAGGGACCACACAGGAGGACAGGCTTTCACCTATTTGACCCCTTGTGACAAGTGGGGAGCCCTGGGGAGGAGGAAATGTAGAAGAGCTGCCAGCCTGCTAAGCCCTCAGCAAAGACCATACTCAGCACAGCGCAGACAAAGAGCTGGAGATTCCCCTTAACCAAGCCTAAGACTGGAAAATCTCCATTATGAGTTTTGCTGCCCTTTCTGGTTCCTTTCTTCTGCCTTCCCCTGACACAAGAAGAAAGGAACGTCCTGCAAAGCAGCTGCAAATACACCTGTTAAAACGTGCCTTACAAGTGTCCTATGAACACCTGCGCTTTTATTATTGATTCAGTAAAAGGCAAATCTGGGGGTTCCCTGGTGGCCTAGTGGTTAGGATTTGGTGCTTTTACTGCAGAGGCCAGGGTTCGATCCCTGGGGTCGGGGAACCATCCTGCATTGCAAGTGGGGCGTGGCCAAAGTTAAAAAAAAAAAAAGGAAAAAGCAAAACACAAACACCCATAATTTGGAAGCAGTGCTGAGTGTGAATTTCAAGCTATCTGGGACAACTCTAATTGATATGAAGAGGGCACAGGCACTGTTAAAGAGGGGTCCCAGGTCCCTTCTACCGATGGAAACATGAAATTTCCAGTAGAAGACAATGAAAATATCAGTGCTTTTTTCCTGATCCGAGTTCATGGATTCCTGAATTTTCCCACAGACTCCAGGTTAAGAACCACTAAGTGACTCTCAACCAGCATGTAAAATTAGAATTAGAGAAGAGGAACATGTCAGTGAGTATCACAAAGAGACATGAGGATCCGTTTGGAAACTTTTGCTGGGTCTGCGGTTCTGAGCCCAGACTTTGCAGCCAGACTTCCTCAACCTGAATCCCGACTCTGCCACTTAGTGCTGTGTGACAGGCCGAGCCACTGTGCTCTCTGGGCCTCCGTTTCCTCCTTTTGCAAATGGGGACAATAGACGTCCTGTCCTTCTAGGGCTGCTGGGGCAGGGAGCTGAGGTGGGACAGGGCCTGGCGCTTTACACCATGGCTGAGTGTTTGGCTGTTGCAGTTTGATGGATGCATTTGATAGAATGTGAAAGGCCTGGGGTCTGCTTTAGTTTTCCTTTAAGCTATAACAAATGACCACTCTTCAAGGAGTGCTGTGCTTGACTACCCCTGGTTCTGGCCTTTGCCCATGTTGATCTCTTGGTCTGCAATGCCCCCCTCCCCTTGTCCCCACCTGGCCAGTTCTCACTCAGCCTTTAGGACTTAGCTCAGATATTGCCTCCTCCAGAAAGGCTTCCCTGAAGCCTACCCCATCACTGGACATGTGCTACACAAGACGCTACCCCTGTCCCTATCAGTTCAGATGCAGTAACCAACTGCCTCCATCTGCTTCTGCACCTGTCCCCCATTGGGTGTCCCCAGCTGGATAGCTGGCCTCTTAATTTCTCTGGTGTCCAGGGAGGCTGTTGTGGACCAGGCCTTGGCGAATGTATGCTGAGCGAGTGAATTAGTGTATGAATGAATGAATGAATGGTTTCCCTGAAGCCCTTTGCACGCTCAGAGAAGCCTGGAATTGAGCCTGGGCAGCACAGGCCACCTGGATGAGCTTGCAGCAGGGAGTGGGGGATGGGGCATCCTCGGAGCTAGGAATCCTCATAGATTATGGGATCTGCCTGGGGCCTGCACAGGCAGGCCCAGCATCCTGGGCAAAATCACCGAGGCCTGGGGTGTCAGACCCACCTCCTGCCTCGTCCTGCAGCTCTGCTCAGTGAGCTCCGCCCCGGAGGCCTCATTCCCCACAAGCTCAGAAGGCTGTGTTCTATCCCAGACTCAAGGACCGTGCCTGGACGCCTTGTTGCGTCAGAAGCTTGATTTATTCATGGATTCTGATTCAGAGTCTCAACTCAGACTCCCTTGTGCATGAAGCCCACCACCAGCCAGATGGCCTCAGCAGGGTAACCCAGGTCCCAGCCCTGGAGACCCAGGAGCACTCATTTCTTTTAGGTTGTGGTGCTATTTGGTGGAACAGAGTTCAAGGTTACTAGAGGATAATCCCACTCAAAGCCGATACTGGAAATGCCCAGGAGCCTGTAATGCTCAAAGATTCCAGTGAGCACCTCCTTACTGTTACCTGGGGAGTCAAAAATGTCCTGCCACCTTCCTCTCCAAATGTGGAGAATGCTTCCTCTCCAGCACTCAAAGTCGGTGTATATGACCAGGTGCTGGAGGAAAAGCTTGTAGGAGCCGTAGATTCCTATAACGTGTTAACCTGGCAGGAGGAGGCATTCCTGGGGCTTCGCACCTGAGACTCCATATTTTTCACTCCAGGGGATCCAAACCTCACCTGGATACTGGGAGGAAGGGGGAGCTTTGAAGGTCTGGGATCCAGGTAACTCACCACCCCCAGGTCCTTTATCCCCTGGTCACCAGCAGAAGGACAGCCCTGTCACTGCAGCATAAGTCCCTGAGCACGTGTCTTTGGGTGCCTGAAACAGGCTTCCTGATCTCAATCCCCTGCTTTGCCACTTTCAAATTCTGTGATTTTGGGCTTGTTACCTAGCAACTCCAGGCCTCAGTGTGCTCACCTGCAGAGTGGGAGTGATTGGGGAGCAGTCACTGAGACCTTCCATCAGGAGAGCTCCACAAGGTGCCCAGTCACCAGGACGCTCAGGAGGTGCCAGCGACTGTCATGGCTCAGAGCAGGGAGCTGTCCCTGAGCCCAGGTTTTGGAGCCCCAATCACTCCAACAAGTCCAGGTGGCAGGCCTGAGAAGTAGGTGACTCTTATCTGTGACCTTCCCCGACCTTGGTGCCTGTCCCAGAGCCTCCCCTCCTCATCTGGCCCCACCCACATTCTGTCTCCTTTAGTGTCTGCAGCTCTGGCCCATTCCCTCTCCCAGGTCCCTGGGACCCAGTAAATGCAGAGCAAAGATCCACCCCAGACCTTGAGCAACACCCCCACCCCATCATTAGTGGAAGACCCTGGGCTTGCTGCCTCTATATACTTCTTGTATTCAATCAGTGGTGCACTCTGACCCTCACTTCATTTTCTCTTTGACCCTAAACTGGGCAGACCTTTCTCCTGCTTTTCCCATCAGGTATTCTCAAACTGAGAGACAATTTATGGTTGAGTTTGGGTTGAAAGGACAAAGTAGGGAGAAGCATCATCTACCCTTCCCTTTAGATCAACCCAGGAAGCAGAGGCCGGACTTGCAGGAGGAGAGAGAAGGGAGTAGCGCTGGTGTGCAGGAGAGGAAGCAGCAGAGGAAAAGGGACAAAAAAAATGTGATGGCTGGTGGCTTCAGGACTCCAAGGACTCAACTGAACTCCTAGAGTCATCAGGAACCCAGTGAGGGTGTTGGGAGAAGGGGCTCTAAGCCCCACTACCCCTGTTCCCAAGACTGGGGCAGGAGTTGGGACACAGTGAGGGGCTCCATGGTCCTGCTCCTACTCACCTCTTAAATATGCCGATAGCACCTACAAACACTCGAATCCCAGTGATTTCATTTTCATAGTCTTTAAAGGTACTGAAATGCCATCCTCCTCCGGGCCCGTACGTCTCTATTAGATGAAGAACCAGGTGGGATAAAAGAAAAAAACTACACAGGGACATGTTGGTTATTTCTGCCCAGAAGAGGGTGTACTCCCTCCAGACAATGGGACACGCCTGAGACTAGAGTTAGTCTGTGAGAAGGGCTGGGCCCAGACCCCAGGTCCTGGATAGAGGGAGGTGAGGGTGGCCTCTAGGGGGATGGGCTGGAGGGGGGAGGCCCAGCCAGACTTATGCCCTGCCCAGCAGGTGGGGCTCCACAGAAGGGTGAGGGTCAGCCATAGCAGCATGGCTTCTGGCTGGCGAGTGAAGGCCTCCTGGAGAGAAGAGAACAGGCCATCTGACTCTCAGAGATGGGCCCCACCCGATCTCGTTGGCCCATCCATGGCAGGGGGCACCGTCTTACCTGGCCTGGAGAGTCTTGTGGTCCAGTCCTGGCACTGGGGAGTCTTGTTGTACCTGGGCGCCCTCCACCTGGCCCTTTATACCCTCCTGGGCCCTATGGGCCCCCCTCCAGAATGAAGGAACAAAGGGGCCACCAGGGGGACAGAAAGGAGCTGGGAAGTGGGGGCTCTTCCTGGAGGAATCCCCAGAGCCATCCAGGGGGAGGATCCCGGATGTGCTGTGTTTGCTGTCTTGGCCCTGTGGCCTACACAAACAAAATGAAACAGTGACAAGCATTTTGCTGTCACCTATGGGTCTCTCTCCTGGGTACCTGCACTTGACCTTGGAGGTGGGGGAGGTTTCCTGAGAGCCCTTTCCAGCTTGACCAAACGGGGTTCAACCCCACAGGGGTGCTTCAGGGCAGCTGCCCCCAGTAGCTTCATGGGGTACAGGACTCCTACCTCGTGAAGAACCTGGTCCAAGGCCTTATTCATGCTTGGGCAGAGCCCTGGGTCCCCTGGCCTTTCCCCTCTGGCCCTCAGAGAGCCAGAGTGGACAGTCCAGTTCTGAGTGTCTGGTGCCAGGTGGTAGAGACACCCCAGGCGCTGGCCCTCCATGGCCTGTCACTGGAAGATGTCTGAGATCTTTCCTTTGTGCTGGGTCTGGTGTAGCTGGGGATGAACTGGGTTGAATGGGCTATGGGATGACCAGCAGCAATGACACAGGACCAGAGGCGCTGTGGGTGGGGACAGGGTGATTCTCCAGGCCAGTTCTCCCCAGAGCTCCTGGGCAAGGCCGAGGGGTCAGACTTGATCTGGGAGGGAATGGGGTGTTTCTTGAGGGCAGGGGATCTGGGGACACTCATGGTACAGCAAGCCCAGGCTTTCTGTGACTGGACGGAGCTCAGGCTGTCTGCATGGCCTCCCTGACCTTTGGGAAGAGCCATGGGGTCACAGTCCTCAATATAGAGGTACTGTGGGCATGGATCTGGAGCCAGATCGGGTCTGAATCCCCACTTCCCTACTTCCTAGGCATGCCCTTTGGGGAGCTCATGTCACTCTCGTGTGCTTCAATTGTCCCCTCTGTTATATGCGGGTAGCAATAGACCCCCCCTCACAGGTGTTACGAGAATTCAGTGAGATCCTTCTCCATCCAGGGGCCTGAACACCAAAAGCTTTACACCTGTGGTCAGGTATGCAGGCTATTCTTTGAGCAGCCTTTGGAATCGCCCAAGATAAGACACAACAGACCTGTCCATCTAGGTGACAGGTTTCATGAATGGTGGTGTCCTCGCTGTGGTGGTGAACTACTCAGGCCTGGAGAAGAAATGGACCCCACAGCTGTGCTGACGCATTGCCACAGGAAACAGGCTGGGCGTAGACTACAGTGTCCTGAACCAACCCCCCGCCATGTGGTTACAAGGAGAAGGGGTGCAGAGCATGGTCTGGCGTGTTCACAGCCTCACTCGGAAGTGCTGGCTGCCAGGAACTGGACGTTGGCTTCATCGAGATGGCTGTGCTGGGGGGCCTAGGGTCAGGGTGGAGGCCCTGTCTAACTGTCACCTTCCTTACTTACATCAGGTCCCTAGGCCAGGGGTCAGTACACTATGGTCCAAAGGCCAAGTCCAGCCCTCCATTGGTTTTTGCACAATCCGTGAGGTAAGAGTAATTTTTATATTTTTAAATGGTTAGAAAAATTTCAGGAGAAGAATGTGATCCGTGGCCAGTTCATGAAATGCCAATGTAATTGTCCACAAACAAGTGTTATTGCCCATTCATTTGCATATCGTCTGGGGCTGCATCCAGGCTGCAAAGGCAGAGCTGGTTAGGTGTGACAGAGACTTTATGGCCCAGAAAACCTGAAACGCGTGGCCCTTCACCCACAAAGTCAGGATCCCTGTCCCTACCCTGCAACAGATGCAGCCCTGCCCGTGGTTGTGGCTGCAGGCGGCTTGGGGGCTTCATTTGACAACCAGTCTTTAGTGGGCAGAAGGGAGCAGAGAGCAGCTTTGTCCAGAAAGCCGTACCCCTCCTTCTGGCCGTGCACTGGTCTCCCTGGACAGGCTCCTAGGGCTCAGGCCGCCACTGACTCATGTTGCAAAGATGAGAGCCCCCATTGTCCTCCAGAGCCTTCACCCAGCCACCAGAGGCCTTCAGCCCCATGAATACATCAGAGGCTGGGCTGGGGAAGGGCAGGGCCAATAGGCTGCAGAGGGGCAGAGAAACCCTCCCGAGGCCCTGGAATCCTCCTGGGGGAGGCAGAGGTGGAAGAGGCCTAGGACCTTGGCAGGCACAGCTCCTAGAGGAAAGGGCTCAGAGAAATCACAAAGGGGACTTGTGTTCTTGTCCCAGCCCACCCTTGGGCACTTTTTCTGATAATGCTGTCTGTTCTTGAGCCTTCCTTCTAGATGCAGGCTGCCAGGGTTTGAGCCCAGAGGGAGGGTCTGTCTGGGCTGGGACTCCAGGAAGAAGTCCCTGGGGTGGAAGTTGGAGGAAGGAACGGCTGCCAGCCTGGACAAGGAAGGATTGACAGGACATGCCCGAGAGCACACGGGAGGTGCATTTTCATAGAGTGCATGAGCATGCTTATAAGGGATGCACATGCACACACATGCGTTCAAAATGCACGTGTGCACCACAGGCTCACACGTGGATGCACCCTTTAACACACACACACACGCTTGCCCAGCTTTCCCTACACCCAGGAGCTTGCACTCACCCTGCACAGCCGTGTACACCATGCATACCTATGCTGGAAGCCCCACCCTCAGAGGAGCCCTGCCCCCTTGTCCACCCTGGCCCAGTGCTGGCTGTGAGCCCGCTCGGGAGACTCAACACAGACCCTTTGTCCCCTGGGATCAGGGCTGCCCACAAGGGGATTTAGCAGCATTGAAACCATAATCCCCTGTGTGGGCGTGCCCCAGATCTCACTCTGTCAGGAGCCTGGAACCATTGGGCCCCCTTCTCCCAGCCGAGGCAGATGCTGGTCTGGCTGGCTTGTGGGTTGGGGGTGGGTCAGGGCTGACATCCTTGCCTCTCTCCCCTCTGGATGTGGGGCTTGCAAAGACCCCTCTGTGCTCTGCAGCCTGAGGCACAGCAGACTGAGGGCCTCTGTCCCCAGCGCACTCAGAGCTGGTGGGCACCTCACTGCAGCCCTCTGCAAGGAGTCCCACCCTGGCTCGCAGGCTGGATCCTGCGACCCGGGCTCAGACTCCTGGGGCGAGGTGTGGGTGCTGACTCCTGCACGTGGCCTCATCTGACGCCTTAGGCCCCAGGAATCAGATGGAAGAGCCTGCTGAGTGGGGGAGGGGGAAAGATCAGATGGGAAGGGGCATTTTGTCCCCGCCTCAAGGGAAGTACAAAGCTGGCCTTTGTGCCCGGGCTTGCCTTCAGGTCACTGCTACCAGACAAGGAGGCCCATCCTAAGGGGAAAACTTGGCTGTGCATTTTTGAAACTCTCGACTCTTCCCCTTTTACTCACTCATTCAAAAATCTCATTGGATGCTCTAAGCAAAACATTTTTCTCCACTTTTCCCCAGAGAAACTCAATACTTTTAATGGAATGCCAGGTCACCCAACAACACATTTTTCTCTTATCTTTTACGTAATTAAAATTCCATTAGTGTTGGGGCTTCCCTGGTGGCACAGTGGTTAAGGATCTGCCTGCCAATGCAAGGGACATGGGTTCGAGCCCTGACCTGGGAAGATCCCACATGCCGCGGAACAACTAAGCCCGTGCACCACAACTACTGGGCCTGCGCTCTAGAGCCCACAAGCCACAACTACTGAGCCCACGTGCCACGACTACTGAAGCCCGCGTGCCTAGAGCCCGTGCTCCGTAACAAGAAAAGCCACAACAATGAGAAGCCCGCACACCGCAACAAAGAGTAGCCCCCGCTTGCCGCAACTAGAGAAAGCCTGCGCGTAGCAACGACGACCCAACACAGCCAAAAATAAAAACAAACAAACACTTCCACTAGCGCAAATGCTGAAAATTAAATGAACTATACCCAAGTGTCAGGTTGAGAGAGGCAAGATCTCCAGGTTCAATTCCCTGAGGCTGCCCTGGCACAAGTGTTTTTCATCTGGTATATCAGTCAGCTTGGCTGCTGTAACAAATACTACAGACCCGGGTGTGGGGAGGGGGGCTTAAACAACAGAGGTTTATTTCTCACAGTTCTGGAGGCTGGAAGTCCAAGATCAAGACTCCGGAAGATTCTGTTCTTGGTGAGGGCTCACTTTCTGGTTCAAACCACTCCAGGGAGTTACCCGAACAGCCTGAGGTTTCCTGAGACCCTCTCATGAACCCCAGATCCACTGTATCCTGCCTCCAAGCCCCCAAGCCCCTAGACCCAAATCAACCCAACCCCATTTGCCTACATCTTTGAGAGGCTCCACCACATCACTGGGATCCAGCATTCTTGGAGAATTATTCTTTGTAAATGTCGTGTTGTTTTCTAGAGTTTGGAGGTGTCTAGGAGAAGCAGGCCTCCATGCTGACCCACACACTCTTATCCATCCTTCCGTCTGCCTGTCCTTGAACTTGCCTTTCCAAACAGATTTCTGGAACAATGTTCAAACAAAACTAGGGTTATTTCCAGATGGTGGAATTTAGGACATTTTTCTATTTTCTTTTCTGTTCTTTTTTGTATTGCTTCCATTTTTAAAATAAGATTGTACTAATTTTACAAAGACAAAATTATTCTTTTTTAAATAAGATGCATTTTTTAAACCTATAAGTTCTCAAAAGATATAAAATTGGAAGTTTGTGTCAGGAAGAGTGTGGGAGTGGGTTCCTCTTACTTTCCTGGGGGAGTGTACTGGGGACCTTCTTGTGGCTTAAAAACCTTAAAAGCATGAAGCCCATTTGGCTAAAGCATTGCACCCATAGAAAAGTTATCCTAAGA